AAAGTTTAGATACCAAAAAGGAACATAAGTAATAGTTTAGGTATTAAACATGTAGTTTACCCTTATTGTTGTTATTATTATTCACTTTTTCCCCATAAAATGTTAGCCATTTAGGGGCTTTTCGTCGTCGTCTTCAAGTTTTTACTTCCCAGTATGAGTGAGCAAAACTCGACTCAACCAGAAAATTCGATTTTTTTTTTTCAATTTCGAGTTATTCGAGTCAACTCAAAATTTTTATTAGGTTTTCGAGTTTGAGTCGAGTTGAGATTTTGCCAACTCGAATAACCAAAATTTGACTTTTTATCTTTATTTTAGTGGCAAAGCCCTCATTAACACGAGTTAAAATCGAATTTAATATTAGATAATGAAAAAATATTTAATATATTTACAATAACCTTAATTAGTATAGTTACAAAATAAATCAGAGCATTTGCGATTTAAACATTTATAGTACATGCCAACAAAATTTCAAAATAACAAAATCACATAATGTTCAAATCGGTCTGATCTGATCTTCTTCAAAGGTATGTTGTCCTGACCTAGCTTTACTCTGCTGACTTCTTTGAACCTACGTGTGAAAACACTCACACGCTAAATCTTTGACTTAGTGAGGCATAAATGAGTATGATAAAACATTAAAACATTTGCTTAAATGTTTCAGGAGAAACATTGAATACGGAAAATAAGATACATTTCGTAAAAATAATATATATTGTTATGCATTGTTCAATTCATATTAACTTGTTTAACTAGCCCAACGCATATCACTGAGAACTCAAGGTATATGAGTGTTTTGAGGTTGTGCAATGTAATTGCAGTCGAAACTGCCGCGTAGAATTTGCACCAAAGTGCCACGTAGATTTGTCCCGAAGGACCACATAGAATTGTCCCGAAGGACCACATAGAATTGTCCCGAAGGACCACATAGAATTGTCCCGAATGACCACGTAGAATTATCCTGAAGGACCACATAGAATTGTCCCGAAGGACCACATAGAATCCCTCGACTCTTGGCATGTCAATTATACCTCTAATTCTCATAGCATATACTTTGGGCTTTAACCATATAAGTATTTCACACAAAATTATTCAAATTATCATTTATACATAGAACATATACTCATAGTAATTAAATCAAAACAGTGCTTTTGAAATACGATTTAAGTAAAACCATAAAAATTAATATAAATAACTATTCAAAATTCTATTCTAGTTAAACATCATTGGAAGTTGACTTATCACAAGTCTTCTTCCCTTGTATTAATACATTAAAGTAGTATACACTCACCTTTGTCTCACTTAAGCCCTAATCAAAAATCATTTTCACTTTCGCCCAATCTCTTTATTACGTCGATTCGTTCGGTACTTGCTTTTGATCGAAATCTACACATTAACATGACTAAGATGAAAACCGAAGCTCAATTAATTGTTAACCAATCAACATTTAAATAAACTAAATAAAACACCTAATTCACAATTTCAGGCTGAACAATATCGATACTCTACATCTAGTACAAATATTTCCCTTCTATGGTACTGATACCTACCTCAGTATCGATACCAAATTGCATTATGAAATTTCCTCTTCAATTAAAGTATTAGTACCTTAATATTGGTATCGATACCCCCAGTATCGATACCACCCCTTTAGTATCGATTATGTTCATCCAATTCATATAGTATCGATTGTTCTTCTAGTACCGATACCCTTGCCCATAATTCACTTATTTCATTTCAAATTTGACCAAAAACTCACCTAAATCTCATACTTTTAACTCCATTCATGCCCTTAAATTCAATAATACTTATCACAACCATCTTACATCAATAACATTCCCTTTAACATCCAAAATTTTCACTAGAACACTTAAAACAAAAATCACACCCATTCTTCAAACATGTTTTCAATCCTTTCTAATACCTCAAACACCTTATTCAGACCTTTGACAAGTCAAATATATCTTGAAAATCCAAATACTACTCAATTTTCATCAACTCCTTTAAAAACCCATTTTACAAAATACCATTAACTCATCAATCCCATAATTTCTAATTATCTTTAAGCTTTCTTAAGCTTCTATACCACCCAAAAACTCAAAATCAATTCAAAAATGTAAGAAACAACCAACTTCAAGATTACTCACCTTAGCAATTGAGTTCACAGTGGAAATGAAGAAGAAAAGATGAAGAAAACTTCTAGGCTTTTCTTTTCTTTTTCTCCTATTTCTTCACATGTTATAATAACATAAAAATGAATTTTAAATTCATTTCACCCCAAAAGACCATTTTGCCCTTCTATCATTCAATCTTTGATAATATATTCTAAACAAAAATTCCAAATCAATTCTTGAACATTTCAATTTATCAAAATCAAACCAATAAATTTAGAATTCTTACACTTTAGTCACTGACCCGATGTTTTGAGATATTACAATACAACCTTTGATAGATTTTCAGGTTTTGTTCTTATTCGAATTGCCTTTTTGTTATTTGCAAATGCTGACCACTAGTGTTTGTGCCAGTTCACCACGTCTATTTTCCGTTATGATCATTTTCCATGCTAAAATTCTTGGTGCGTTCTTCTAATATTCATATGATATCATTTGTTTTGTGATAATATTCTGTTATGGTTTTGAACAGGGACTCGATTAAAGTTGCAAATTAAGTGCAATGATCGCTTTAGCGCTGTCAGAATTTGTCTGCAAGTTAAGCCAATCGGCCTCGGCTTGGAATTACAGCCTGTTGTTGGAATAAGCAGGAAGCAATTTTCTCTTTTATATGTGCTGCCGCAGTTGCTATGGTAAGCTTGTTATGCCTTGTAATGAGGCACAAATCAGTTTGTTTAAAGAAGAAACATGGGAATGGGCGAAAGAATGCATTTAGAGTGTGTTTATCTTTGATCAGTATCAAATTCAAAACTATGTGTGTGTGTTCTACTAGCATAAACAGATACACATCCCGAAATAGATTTAGTGGAAGAGATCAAAACCTGTACCGGCTCTTCCCTTGTCTTCAATGGTTAAGTGCTTTGTCACTCAACTTTGACAATCGAGAGCGTTGGTAGGCAAAAGACATCAAAGGGAAAAAAATATCAAAACTTGTTTGAAAATGATTATATGTTTATGTGTCTGTGTTCTTCTACAAGCATAAACAGATATAAATCCTGAAATAGATTTAGTGAAAGAGATCAAAACCTGTACCGGTCCTTCCCTTGTCTTCACTGATTAACTGTTTTGTCACTCAACTTTGACAAGGTTTGAGAGGGTTGGTAGGCAAAAGAAATCAAAGGGAAAAAAGATCAAAACTTGTGTCTGAAAATCTAATCTGTTTATGTTTGTGTTCGGCTGTTCGCTTCTTTAAACATGCTAAAAGTTGGTGTTTGGATGAAGTTGGTACTGAATTTTTTATTTCCTTTTTCTGCAGAGTGCAACATGTAGCGCATCTGGGCAAACTCAGACTGTTAGGCACCAACAATCACCCAAGCTCCTGTCCATTGTAATAACTAACACACAAATTTTCAATACTTTGCTTAAAGTTCATTAGATGTATTCCTTTTTGTGTTTTTCAAGTGGACCTATAGCCACCAACCTTAAGCTGAATGATGGTTAAGAAAGTTATGGAGGGCTAGGTGCTTTTGTTGGAATAATAGAAGACATGGACCACATGGTGATAGGCATTGATCATTCTCGTTCTTTTTGACACTTGGTCATTCTACAATCTGCATCCAAACTTGCATGATCATATGCTCCGTCTACATTTGTAGGATAGGATGATTGTTATTTTAGTACTTGAGAATTCGTATGCTACCCTTTACTAGTAGCATTGAACAACGTTCCATTTAAGTTTTACTAGCTTCACATGGTGTCCCATGATTATTCAGGATCACTGTGAGTTCCAAGCAACTTTATGCTATCTTTTAAATATCTGTAATTTTATGTACTATTTTAGTTGATAAATACAAAGCCGCAGCGGCTAGGGATAGAATCCTGGCTCTGGCGCTGTGTAACTAATTTACTTTCGGTGAGATATAACTATAAGCTGCTCACCGGAAGTTCATGGATTCGGCACACTCTTTTCTTGTTCGAGTATAAGTCTGTAATTTTACCAGAAAATGTACCATTTAAGATTGCTTACATGGCTTATAAAAATTGCAGCTAAGGAGAAGTCACCAGAACTGGATGACGGCGGTTCTGGATTTCCTCCCCGTGAAGATGATGGTGGTGGAGGCGATGGAGGTGGTGGAGGAGGCAACTGGTCCGGTGGATTCTTCCTTTTTTGGATTTCTTGCATTTCTAGGATTCTTAAAGGATAAAGAAAGCGAAGAAGATTATCGGGACAGTCGAAGGAGATGGAGAGACTGCAAATTGATAATGTTGTGGAACCATTTGCATATAGATTTTAATTTGTTTTCCTTTTGATAATGAATAATCTAATTCATCTTGAAATAGAATTTGTAGTTAACTAGCCTTCTTCTCCTTTTTAGGTAGAACATATGAAAAGGGTAATAAGAATAGAAAATTTGTTCATCAAATGATTTACATTTCATAAATCACTTTCTGATATAATATATGTACCAAAGTAGGGCTTTGTATTTAAAACCTAATTTTCCTTTTAATGAAATATATTTTTTATTTTGATATTAACTTATATATGATTAGGGTTCTAAATGAGTACAGTTTAGCTCGAGTATTGTTGAGTTTGATTTGACTCAAAAAGTTTTTGTAAACCTGTAAATTTTCTCCCTTTATTAAAAGATTTACAGCAATCCGGAGACGTAGGCATAATTGGCTGAACTCCGTTATCAATTTCGGGTATTATTTTTCCATTTGTATTTCACATTCTCACTAATCTGGTTATAGGGAAATTACTCGTACTCGGTTATTTCCCAACAACTGGTATCATGAGCTTTTGGTTGTGAATTTTGTCAATTTTTCTGTGAGGTTACTATTCATGTGAATAGTGAATTTTGAATAGTGAAATTTGGTCGGCGATACGAATTTGTCGACGGAGGTGTTCTAATAACAGTGGTTCGCGGAAATTGTCACAAACGATCCAAAAGAAGCCAGATTCGAGTGGGAGCGATGGCTTTGAGAAACGAAGTTGATGAGCTTAAGAGGGAGTTGCTCATATGCAAGGGAGATGCTCATATGCAAGGGAGCAATGAGTGAATGGGATGCGCTCAAGACCTTCTTGGAAGGACTTAGACCAGGGACGATGCTCGGGAGAGAGCAAGGAGATGCCCAGAGACTTTCGAAGGCCATAACTGTAGCCGGAAAGCTGACTGAGCTTGCAGGTGACAAGCCAAGTAGCGATGTGTTGTCTAGGCCCATGCCCAGAGATAGTGACAACAAAGGGGGAGACCAGGAAAAGGTGCAGCAGGGAGATGGTAGAGAAAGTGTTGAAAACATTTTGATGTTTCAATATAACAAATTAAGTATAAATGAATTTTAAGATTATACACATGATTTTTTAAGTATTATCGATTTAATTACTCGAATATCAAATTATTACTCCAAGTCTTCAAGATCAATTTCAAACCTTACTAAATGTGTAAAATTGAGTTTTATACTTAATATATTTTTGAAACAATTTTCACAGTATTTTGAACCAAAATCAAGCCTAAAATTAATTTTTCAGAGTGATGCACCGATGCACCAATCCATGCATCGATGCACCATGGAAAAAATCGAACATCGAATGCATTTCATGCACGATGCACATACTATGCATCGATGCACTCAGAGTTTTATGAAAACATCGAATGCATTTGATGCATCGATGCACCAGCCATGCATCGATGCACTCAGGCTATTTTGAAACATCGAATGCATTTTATGCATCGATGCACTCTTAGTGCACCGATGCACTAAGGGTTCAACGGTCAAAATATTTGAATTTTACACTTGATGCACAGATGCACCTAGTGTATGCATCGATGCACTGATGCTCCCAACTGATTTTATTAATTGTTTTCACACTTAAACAGCTATATTGACTCCACTAATCATCCCCAACGTTCAGAATCGATTCAAGGAGTATTTAAACAAGCTTAGAAGCCATTGATCAACAAGAGAAAACAATAAGAAAGCACAAGAAACAAGAATCAAGAGAGAATCAAAGAGAAAATATCAAACCTCAAGTTTGAGCATTTCAAACCTATTTTTTATTCAATATTCATTTTTCTTTCAAGAACACTAATTGTACTCAATTGTATTCATTTTTTTTGTGTTCTTTTCTTTGTTCTAAGAATTGTACAAACAATCTACCTTGTGAGGATTTCCTTGTAAGTTTGCAAATTTGTAATATTTTTCTTTGAGAAAGAGTGTTCTCAAGAATTGGGGTATATTCTTGAGAGAGTTGTAAGGTTATCTCTTTGGCCCCAAAAGAAAGAACAAATTAGTGAATTTGTTGGAAAATCCTTAGTGTGGATAGCTAAGGTAGTGGACGTAGACTTTGGTTGAGAAAGTCAAACCACTCTAAATCGTTGTGCAAATCTTTTCAATTTTCTACAAAAGCTTCCACCAAAATTTTAATTGTCAATTCACCCCCTCTTGGTCGATTCCGTCGATCGATTAACTTAACAATTGGTATCAGAGCCTCACTCATTTGAAGGTTTAATCACCTCTTGAGTTGATTCGGGAAGAGTTACATCAATTATGAAGTCATCAATGTCCTCTACTTTAAATGTCGACTCCGGTCTCGATTCGATGCCCGTCAACAAGCCTCATTTCTTCAATGGAGCTAACTATGCCTATTGGAAGAATATGACGATGTATTTCATTCAAGCAAGTGACATGGGAGCATGGAATGTTGTAGAAGACGGATATATCAAGCCTCTCACTCATCCAAGATTGTGGAGTGAAAGAAAGACAAGAATGTTCCAGCTCAATTCCAAAGCCATCCATATCATATTTTGTGTTCTTGGACCAGATGAATATGAAAGAGTCTCATCTTGTACAACCGCCAAAGAAATATGGGATAAACTACAAGTCACTCATGAAGGTACCGACAAGGTAAAAGAATATAAAATTAGTCTTCTAACACATAGCTATGAAAATTTCAGGATGAAACTAAATGAAGATATCAAAGCTATGACGAATAGTTTCTCAACAATTGTCAATGGTCTCAAATCATATGGAGAGATAATTTCAAACGAAAAGCTTGTGAGGAAGTTAGTTTATTCACTTCCAAAATTGTGGCAATCCAAGGAGACGGAAATCATCGAGGATAAGAACCTAAAGTCCTTAACTCTTGAAGAGCTAATCGGTTCCCTCCTCACTCATGAAATGATGCTTGAAGATGAGGTGTACCTCGATAAGATTGACGAGACACCAAAAGAGAAGGAGAAGAATAAAAACATTGGAGTTGCTCTCAAATCCGTAAAAGATGAGAGTGATTCGGATGAAGATGAAGATGACGAGGAAATGACATTGTTTGCCAAACGGTTCAGAAAAATGATGAGACCTTACCGAGGAAGAAAATTCAAACGAAATGAAGGCCTAAAAAATGAACCAAAAGAGAAGGACCCTATCATTTTCTATGAATGCAAAAAACCGAGGCATGTCAAATATGATTGCCCATAATTGAAGAGAAAGGGTCAATCAAAGAATAAGCACAAAGCTCATGTAGCTACATGGAGCGATGAAGAAGGTTCCGATGAAGAGGAACAAGAAGTAGCAAACTTGTTCTTGATGGCATTCGGGGAAGATTCTAAGGTAACCTCTAACTCATTTGAATTAGATGATTTATCTGATGATGAGTTATTAGAGGAATATAATGGGTTGACTTCGGATTATGAGAAGTTGTTTTCAAAATATAAAAATGATGTCTCAAAATTGAAAAATGAAAATAAGCTCATATCCAAGACCAACAATGATTTTGAAAGTAAAATCAAAGATTTGCAAATCAAACTAGAAGAGTTTGAAAAGAAAAATTCGGATTTGCAAAATTTACTTTCAAAGGTCAATGATGATCATCAAAAGAAAATTGATGATCTTAAAGCTTCTTTTGATAAAGTTGGAACAAAACGTTTTGAAAATGGATAAAATTCAAAATCCAACTTTGTTAGAAAAAGTTTTAAAAACTACAATCATAGAGGTCCCCGAAGAACCTCTAATAAAAAAAATTGTTAGAAGTATATGGGTTCCTAAAGGACTCATTACTACTAAAGATAAGGATATCCTACACAAATGGATACCTAAGGGGACTAGGATTTTGGAAACTAATGAATATGGACCCAAAAGAATTTGGGTACAAAAAATTAGAAATTAATCTATGTTTATAGGAAAAGGAGTATTGCTATAAGACACGGGAAACAAATTCAAACTCATGGTACCTTGATAGTGGATGATCAAGACACATGACCGGTGACAAAAGCCGGTTCATAGAGCTTAACGCCAAAAATGGAGGAGAAGTGACTTTTGGTGATAATTCAAAAGGTCACATTGAAGGTATAGGTACAATAGGCAATACCTCTTCCATACAAATTAAGAATGTTTTATATGTGAATGGATTAAAGCATAATCTCTTGAGTATTAGTCAATTATGTGATAAGGGATTCAATGTCATATTTGAAACTAATGGTTGTAAAGTTATTGACATTTCATATAATCGGATTATGCTTGTTGGTCATAGAATAGGAAACATTTACATGGTGCATTTAGATTCTATTGATATGACTAATTTATGCCTAGTTGCTAAGGATGAGCATGATAGTTGGTTATGGCATAGGAGACTAGGACATGCTAGTATGAGCGTTTTGCAACGGCTAATTCAAGGTGATTTAGTTCGAGGGTTGCCTAAACTAAAATTTGATAATGATAAAATCTGTGATGCTTGTGCTAAAGGAAAACAGAAGCGAGTTTCTTTTAAATCCATTAACGATGTAGCAACTAGTAGAGTATTACAATTGATCCACTTAGATCTTTTTGGCCATCTAGAACTACTAGCTTGGGTGGAAAACAATATGCATTTGTCTTGGTAGATGACTATTCTAGATATACTTGGGTTCTATTCTTAAGTACTAAAGATGAAGCATTAGAAAAATTCATCACGTTTTCAAAAGTAATCCAAAACAAAAAAGGTTACCCTATAACTAGTGTTAAGATTGATCATGGAACTGAATTTAAAAATCTTGGATTTACTGAATTTTGTAATTCAAATGGTATTAGCCATAATTTTTCAGCACCTAGAACCCCTCAACAAAATGGAGTTGTTGAGAGGAAAAATCGAACTTTAGAAGAAATGGCTAGAACCATGCTTTGTGAAAACAATTTTCCAAAATAATTTTGGGCGGAAGCCACAAATACCGCTTGTTATGTTATTAATCGAGTAATGATTAAGCCTATTTTAAAGAAAACTCCATATGAACTTTTTAAAAATAAAAAGCCTAACATTAGCTATTTTCATCCTTTTGGATGTAAATGTTTTGTTTTAAACAACGTAAAGACAATCTTGGCAAATTTGATGCTAAAAGTGATGAAGGAATTTTTCTGGGTTATTCCTTAAATTCTAAAGCTTACGAGTATTTAATAAAAGAACTTTGGTTGTAGAAGAGTCTATACATGTTGTTTTCGATGATAATCTCCTTCGAGGAAGGATTCTTGTTTGAATGATGATGTAGGTGTTATAAATACAAATGACGTTAGACATGGCGTTAGAGAACCATCATCAAATGAAGAAATGAAAGATGAGAAAACTCATGATCCTCTCGAGAATCCAACCATTGAAGAAATGGAAGTATCTTACCCAAGAGAGTACAACTATGTCAAGGATGGTGAAATTATAGGTGATCCATCCAAAGGGGTAACAACTTGATCTTCTCTTAGAAATTTGTAATTATGTTGCATTTATCTCATGCATAGAGCCTAAGAATATTAAATAAGCATTAAAAGATGAACATTGGATTATGGCTATGCAAGAAGAGTTAAATCAATTTGAGAGAAGTAAAGTTTGGACATTAGTTGAAAGGCCTAATAATAAATCTACTATAGGTACTAGATGGGTATTTA